ATGCTAAATAATATTTCTAACAGTTTTTATCCTGTCCTTTGGAAGCTGGAGATTTTGAATATTCTAACATTTTATCAAAATTCATTTTCATCCTTGTGGTTCACATATTTCTTCGTGTTGTTTTTAACAAGTCATCAGACTCGATAAGAAATGATTTTGATAAATGTTAATAAAAATGATATTCATTAGAAAAAATAAATAATGGGTATGAATTTTATGGGTTGTTTGATAAAGTTTTTAATAAAATTTTTAACGGATTTTGATAAAAATTGATAAATATATAAATTTAAAAATTTATAAAATTAATTATTAACTTTCATATTAATTTTTTAATCCTTTCTAATATATAAATAATTGTGAATTTTATTTGATTTAATTCTAATAAGTCGCTGGTTTGGAGGATATATTATAAGCTTGAAAAAAAAAATTGCAAGAAGGCATCAATATTGAAGAAACGGTGTAAAGGAGAATAGGAAGTAGAATGGCGGAGCAGGGTGGAAATTCTAACGAAGAAAATGGAAAAATTGGTATTAATTTACCAAAAAATCCTCAAAGAACCATCATCACTGCTACCAGTGATGATAATCTCAAGGAAATCTTTCACCAAATCAGAACTTCTAAAACCCCAGTAAGCAATTATTCTTCAACTTGTGTTTCAGTGCTTAGATATTCGATTTATCTCATAAAAAATTTCATTTGAAATTTTGAATTGAATGTTTCTTGCAGGCAGTTATCAATTACGGTGCATCGTGGTATGTTAATTGTGTGTACATACGTGTTCGATAAAATGTCTGATTGAAGTTCCCATGAAAATGTTGCAGTGTTGGCTGATTTGTAATCATTGAAATTTGAAGCTTCAATTGCTTAAATATTTCTTTGTAATTTGAATGAAATTTGTGAATTTTTAGGTGTCATGTTTGTAGTCAGATCCTTCCTGCATTTTGCCAACTGAGCAACAAGTTTCCGAAGCTTTCTTTTGTGTATGCTGATATCGATGAATGCCCAGAAACGACGCAACACATTCGCTACACGCCCACGTTTCATTTCTACAGAGATGGCGAAAGGGTCGATGAGATGTTTGGTGCTGGAGAAGATCGACTACATGATCGCCTTTGGCTGCACTCTTGAAATATATACACAGTTCGCGTTCTTACCATTTTCTGTTGTGACTATAGCTTTGTTACTTGTTATTTTCCTCCATCTCTGATTTTCAACGTTGATACATAAACTTCAAATCAATGTTCATTATAGATCACAGCTTGTCATCAATCCAACAAAATCACTGTAAATGGATTAACAAGAGCCCTTCTTCTTGCCAGTGAAAATGTCAACAATTCAGAAATTTTTGTAAAGGAAATTGAGGGTGAACTGGATAGTGAAGTGGAAGGCAGAAGAAAAGGAGATGGGACTGGTCTAAAAGTAACAGAAACTGCATTCACCATAGCCATTCTAAAAAAAAAAAAGTCAATTGAGTACTGCAATTTTTTTTCCCCCTTCTTGATTTGGTATTGTGTGTGTTCTGTGCTACGTTATGGACCAAGGAAGTTGCGGATAGAGTGGAAGTATATGATTAACCAATTTGTACGGTTTCTTGTACATTGTTAAAATCCATTTTCAATAACATAATTAATTAGTTTAATTGGAGCAAAATCTCCACGATCTTTGCCTCTATTGCGGAGTATCACCTATTCTTTCAGGTTGGCAGAAAAACCTCCTAGATGACCTTTATTAAGAAAATAAAAGGATAGATTCAATATAGAAACTATATTGAAGGAACTAGATGAAAAAGATATGAAGAACACTTATTATTCATCAAAAGTTCAATTAACATTGTGAATACATTGATCTATTTATAGGCTAAACTATCTATCAAACTAACTACATAACAATCAAGAGAAGGATCTAGAATAAACATCTAATAACAAATAGGAGAACGATCTAATATTGGAATATTCCAACACTCTCCCCTCAAGATGGAATATCTTGAATTGTAGAGAGAAGAGCAGAGATGCAAGAGAAGTCGTGGTCGATAATAACGTCAAACGGAGAAGCAATCTAGTGAAAGACAGCAACATAATTCAACCGGAATAAGTGAACATCCATGGCTCTAAAACCGGACATTTGCTGAAGATAAAACATCATTAACATTGATGAGTAAAGGAAATACTGTAAATGCTAAACAAACTCCAACAAGGAATGTAATTAAAACCACCATTTTAGACTAAAAAAAAAAACTAACTACAGCCATGATCATTAAGGGTTACATCATAGGCAGTCGTGGATCCTTGATTGTAGATATCAATGGAGACATAGACACGTTCAGAACAACCCACTGCTTGCAATTTAATATTGTGAAAATGGTGAAATCTCCGGAAACAGAGCATCCTCTCAAGGCTGTTGGATGGGCTACAAGAGACTGGAATTTTTTTTTACCTTTCAAATTCTCTAGAAAGGCGACCGAAGAGCATGATGTGAAGTTCAAAGTGTTGTATTGTGGGGTCTTTCATTCGGATCTTCATATAACCAAGAATGAATGGGGCTTCACTCAGTATCCCCTTGTTCCCGGCCACGAGATTGTGGGTCAAGTAACTGAGGTTGGCAGCAAGGTGGAGGCAGAGACACGTTCAGAGCCGGATTTGAGCCTGGTGAGCTTGGCTTTCTTATGGGCAAGTATGAATGGGCCTTCTGAGCTGGCAATCGTCGACGAGGCCAACAACAAAGCCACCACGACATAGATAACAGATCGTCCGATCCAACCCGCCATTGTTGAACAAATTTAGAGAAGGTTTTGCTAATAATGAGATTTATTCAGAGAAGCCATTGGCAGATTTCTTCATTCCAGAGTTGGGAAGACAGAAGAAAGTGATAAGAGTTGCAGACGGAAGGAGCATTTTGCTCTGATACCATATTAAGAGGGTAATTGGCGCAAAATGTCCATATCTTTGAAGGTTTTTTGTGGAAAACGTCCAATCTTTCGTTTTTTGGCGCATAACGTCCCTACCTTTCACATTCTTTGTGATGAACGTCCATTTTACCAATTTTTAACATAAAAT